ACTTGAGCATTGAGTAGAGTTCTAGAATACGACCCTAAGTATAATATGAAGAGAAAGGGAAAGAATGATCCGTCACCCCAAAAATTTTTTTGAGTTAATGCCGCCATCTAGTTCGTCTGACGCTAAACTTATGTAGCCTTAAGCAGAAAAAGGCTAATAACAATAATGTTCAATGTCCCGAAAAATGGGCATATAAGTTTAACCTATAGATTTAGTAATAAATCTATGGTTTAGCCATAAAAGTCTCAGGGCCGTATTCCAGAACTCTACTCAATGCTTAAGTCAGGATCTGAGTATGATTTCAAGCAATGGAAATACGACCCTAATGGGAGGGACTTGAGTATTATTTCGAGTGCTTTAAACCATACTCAAATCCGACTTGAGCAGACTTGAGTATGATTTCAAGCACTGGAAATACGACCCTAATGGCAAGGACTTGAGTATGATTTCTAGTGCTTTGAATCATACTCAAGTCCTGATTTGAGCAATGAGTAGAGTTCTAGAATACAAATCCTCTAAGATAAAAGTTATTAGCGACTCACGGCATAAAAGTTAAAAAGATCAGAGTCACAGACCACATAAATTATTATTCCGTGATCAGAGTCAAACGACTTTGATCTTTTTTTTTCCATAATGAATGGCTTGTGCTTAGACTACTCCTTTAATTTTTTCCATCCTCACTGCAGACTTGTTTACGCGACGGTGTTTGACATCAGCTATATGTTTATTGACGCGGGTACAAATACTTCGCTTCGTTTGTCCAATATAAGTGAGACCGCACTCACAGTCAAGCTTGTAAACTCCTGCATCCTGTAAGGGGATGTTACATTTCACGGGTCTCAGGAACTGAGAAATCTTCCTCAGGTGCTTGAAATAGGTCTTGATAGAAGCACGCCTGAGGACTCTTCTGATCTTGTCTGTAACACCTCTCACGTAAGGTAAGATGGCAGGTCTTCGCTCGACTGTTGGTGGTTTCACACGGGGCCTGCGGCATTGGCGTGGAATCTTCAACTTATTCGCATGTATGACTTGCTTTATATGTTGAAGTTCCCCTGCCCGATGATTACTGTCGCAGATACCATGTGCTCACTGAAACAAAGATTTGCCCACGGTAGCTAACTGGCTAGGTATATATATATTATGCGCCCTTATTTTTATAATAACATTAATAATAATAACGCCACACACTAAACACCCCGCACTAGGGAAACCCTGTGTCGCGGATGACATGGACACACTTATAGACACTCACAAATTACACCCTAACTCACGAGATAAATAAATGTAGGCCATACAAATATTTCTCCCGGCCCGGGAATCGAACCCGGGACCTCGGCGTGGCAGTCCGGCCGTTCGGTAATCGTAACCGTTCGTTCACGGAGGCAGTTATTTCATAAAAAAAAGTATCGAAGACATTTTTGCACAAGTTGATCCTTAGAACAACAGAGACAGCACAAATTAGACAACACAAATTGTTAGTAAAAATGTATTTAATATTTACAGGGAATATCGTAATTTAGTACAGTCAAACAATATTATAGTCCACACTTCCTTCGTCTAAACCACGCTCACACAATGAGTTACCCCTAATCCTTATTTTAGCTAGATGAACGAGAGTACACGCGTGACCCAAACGAAGGCGGCATCTTGTTGATTTAGTTTTTTTATTGGCTGAACGGAATTTGAAAAATCAAAGCACCCACGGAACGAACCAACGGACCTCACGATCTTTTCTATTATTTACATTTAAATTAAATTCGGCTTAGTTGGCATAGCATCTGCCACGGTTTGCTAGAAGATGTCGGTTCGCATCTGGCCGGATCGAAGGAATTTTTCTAAGTGTTTTATCTTTCTATTAATAATGATGACTTTGATTGTTTTAAAAATTTTGCAGTAAGACTGATCATTATTTCATCATCACATCATCATTTGATATTAGAAAAGTAAAATAGGGTGATTATAATTTGTTTTTGTTTTGTCATTTCATTACAATTACAAGTTACTACAAACGTGTATGCTTATAATTCAGGCAGCCTATGTGTATGTCATATAAGTCATCAAAGTTAAAAATTCGTTTTTTTTAAATTCTCCTGAAGTGACTTGGTTCATTATTTCCCTGGACTCTTCATCTCATCTTATAGGATTCTGTAATGTAAGTAGTTATCTTAGTATACATTACGAAGTTCGGGAAATAGTTCGCATATTAAAATTCGGAATATTTTTTTTTTTTAAGTTTTGGTCGTGATTATTGATTATGCTAACAACTAAATACTCCATATGAATATGTAATACTTGGAAAGGCATATGCAAAACAATGTTGAATGAAAGCTACGGATCACCGAGGGAATTTTATGGACATAGTTACGAAGAATTGCAAGGAAAAAATCGCTAAAAACAAACCAAAACAAAAATCAAAAGATTAGGCTGAATAGCGTGTTTACATTCGCCTTTCCTGTTTAAGAAGTCAAACTGTAAACAAAACAACATGGCCGGTGAAACGTCAAAATTCCGCGAGCCGTGAGCGGCCTCGCACCGCCACTAACATTTTTGGTCGATATAGGAAAAAAATGGTGCAATTGCCGTTGCGAAAATGCTACCATGCGGCTAAGGTGTGTATTTTCGTGGTGGTGGTGGTAACCATGTTGGTGGTATTCGAACAATGGCGCGGGGGAAAACGCTCGGCGGGTGCACAACTCTTGGACTCAGTGGATGCGGAGTTTGAGAGGCAGATACTAGAAGACGAGGCCAGGATAATACCTGGGCTGGGCGATGGCGGTGAGGCCGTGCAGCTCATGGGCGAAGAAAAACGTCTCGGAGAAGCATCGGAGAAGAAACTCGCCATAAACGTCTACCTTAGCGATAAGATTCCTTACAACAGAACTCTTAAAGGTAAAGGTTTTTTCTATAGTTAACTTAAAAATATCTTTACAAGTTCCTATTCTGTCTTTGACGTCTAAACCATGTCAGATTATAAAAGATTTTATTGAAAAACTAATGCATATGCATCGAAAGTGTTTCGCGTTTCGATCGACAGTACAGTAGGCCGCTGCGAATAAGGGAAACCGAAGTTTATTACTCAAATAGTTGCCCAATGTTATAGCTATATATGTCTGTGGACTCATAATTCATATTTATGTTCCATTTCAGTTATTGTCTCGTTGTTATTTCTTCAACTTTTTATTTTCAGTTCGAAAGTTGAACGCTTTACTACTTTACTATAAGTCAAATGGAGAGTGCACTTTTATGAATAGATATGTCAATAGTAAAGTATACATAGAAAAAAAAAATTGTTTCTACAATTAACAGAAATACTTTATTTTATATTTCACACTCTTATCAGAGATGTAGAAGCATATTTATTTAGTTTATTCCATAACATACAGCAAGATTATGTTATGCATAAAATAACAAGATTTTATATTGAAGTACAGGTGCTCAGAATGTTTGTACTATGTTTCATAAAACATTAATAGCCATGCCCACTGGTTGCAATTTTGTTACTACCATGAAATAGCCGATAATGTCTGAGTGCAGCGACACATTGTGAAACTTAATGTGCAAGACAGTACTTGATAAGTTTCTGCACTGCAGTTGCTTATCAGTATATGGGTTTGTCCATTAATGTTCATGTTTCCACTTCATATTGCTCATGCATGTCAATTGAGTATGTTTTATGATCTTTGTTGAAGATTTGCATGTATTAGTTACTTTTAATACTGTAGTTTTGTATGGACTTGTTTTAAGAAATTATTTTCATCCATTACTGCAATGGCTGACAGTATACTTTTTATCTTAAAGCTGAAGTCTCTCGGCCAACAGGTATTCTGGTACCTGTTTGTGTCCAACCCCTCTAAATTGCCTTTAATGAGCTATGTCAAATATGTGTTGTTCCCTACTTGGTCTACCCGGTCATTGCAATAGTACTGTGCCATGGATGTATCAGCAATTTATTGCATATTTATCTATTTTGGCACTATAATGTGAACAAGCTCTTAGAGGGACTTCTGAGAGTGTATCAGCTATGGTGTTACCAAACTTTAAGTTGGTTTTGATACGAGATGGATTACATTTATTTACTGTGATCAAAGCATTAACAGAGGTTAACAAGTTCGGTTTTGATTCTTGTGCCAATTAAAAAAATAATCCCTTCTTCTGATGGGATCACAGATGTGTCTGTGAAACCTAATGATTTCCATTGGAAGTAATCAGTTTGATTGTCAATCGAACAATGGGGTTCTCACAATCGCGACGGCCTTGCGACGTCTATTCACACAAATTAGAAATTATGGACAATGTGACTGCTGCTCCATCAGCGACGCTACAAAATAAGGAACTGTAAATGTTTCTTTGCGCGGAGTGCTCCATTATGCATATTCCTCTGCCTTGATGTGGCCATATTGAGTGTTACCCCTTTTCTATTTAGCAGTACCTCTTCCTACTCCAATTATGGACTATTGAATGACGTGAATGCATCGATATTGTAACTGTTCCTAATTTGTATAACTAAGAAACCTCTAGTGGTGGGACTGATTTTATTGTGCTAATTGTTGTGTTTACCTCAGAATTACGTTTTTTATCGCGTGTATTAAAAGATACAAGAATTTCATATAAGTTTTTGTTTTTACTGTACCTTTTCTTACTCCTAAGCTAAACGCGCACTCGGCGAAACCAGCGGACAAATGCGATAATTACAGCGTGTGCTATGACGTCTTCGGTGTGCGATTGCCGCTCTTACTTCCCGTCAACCAGATGTGCTGGTTGCTCTGACTAGTGATTTGAAAAAAATTGTTTGAAATTTAAAAGTTTTAAAAGTAATATTTAAAAGTACGCGTTTCTTATATTTAAAATGACTGTCTCGTCGTATGAAGTCAGGCGACTGCGAAGAAGATTCAATAATATTAACGTTTACGAAAAAAAACTTTAAATAGTCTGGCTTATTGATATTATTATTCAAGGATATCCACAGTTTATCGATAGTTTTTTATCGCATTACAATGCAACACTAATGGTTACTAATCACGCGTAGAAAGCGCTACGATCGTATGCATGAGTTCTTGCAATATTAATAACAAACTTAAATGGCATTTTTTGATCGTATTCATAGATTATGTAAATGTGCTGTAATGAGAATTATAGGATACTGTATTAATGTTGTAAAGTCCACTCGCAGTACTCTAAGGGAGTGAACTCATATCATCTCCATATACGGAACCCGTCTTCTGCAGTAGGATATTAATTTTGGATAGCTAGCGTTGCCACATGTGGCATCACTAATTTCCTCTGTATTACTTCCTTATTTCACACTCTCAAATCGAATATGTATTATGCATGTGCAGACATACGCAACCCGGCGTGCGAACGGGTCGTCTACGACGCAGAGCTGCCGTCGACGTCGGTGATCCTCATCTTCCACAACGAACCCTACTCGGTGGTCATTCGCACCGTGTGGTCCGTCCTCAACAGCGCCAGAAGGGATCAGCCATTCTATAAGAATGCCAATTTCCGGGAACGGGGCTCTGGAAAACTCATGCAGCTCGGTTAGCACTCACGAAAGGCGTAACAGGCGAAAGGATCTATTTCACGCTTTGCTTTACAACGATGCATAGGATGCTGGAATCTCCTTGCAAAGAACTTAGGATTTATATTCATAGAACGGTATTGTACAATGATCATCAGTATAGACTTATGCCAACCACCTATACAGTAGTATTTGACAATTCGTAAAGCCACTACGAAACATGTACCCGATTGTGGTACACATTCTTTCGTCTATTATTCCATTCAAATGTTATCGGGAATCATGCCACCCTGTATATTATGATAAAAACGTTGCCCAACTTTTGTTGTTAGGGTTTCCCGGCCAGGATCCCAACTCTCCATATGTGTACCTTAAAGAGATAATACTCGTCGACGACAACTCCACGCTGCCCGAACTGAAAGGCAAATTGAGTTACTACATCCGCACGCGTCTTCCGCCCGACATGATACGAATACTGCGCCTCCCGGATCGGTATGTGCACTTCAGCTTCCTTGCCTCATTTCTGGCATGTAATGCAAATTATTGTACTAATAATTTAATGAATGTAAAAATGCATGTTTTATATATAATACCCCGGATTCGAGAGATTTATTCAGTTTCCTATTGTTTGAAAAGAATAAGGGCGCGTTCCCATTATGTCGCACCGTGATTATTTATTGTTGAACGACTGTCGTGTCTAGCTGTTCCCACTAGATCGTGATGACAATTTATCGGTTCACGTCAGCCGCCTTGTCGTTTGCACGTTAGAATTGTTTTTACCTGTCGCCACGTTTTTATCGCGACGTTATATTTATCGTACGACGACTGTCGTTCTAGCTCTTCTCACGTCACGACAGGCAGCCGCCGTAACGTCAAAAAATTCGTGAACGACAGTTAATCGTGTTATACAATATGTGAACTACTTCATTTAAATATATAAGCTACAATATTTTAAACTGCACGATTATCAGTCGTCACGACATAATGGGAACGCGCCGTAACGTTAACTTTTTGAAGCGAGATCGGGATTTTTAGCAAAGACAGGAATGCAGACCTCTAACTTGTGTTCCAAAGTTGTAAGTAGTTGTTTTCAAAGTTCAGCGTGTTAACAGTCTATTAAAATGGCACCATCACCCGACAGTCGTGCGCGCTTTTACTTTATTTATTTATATTACACTGACGTCTACAATCCCAGTCTCTTGGAGCCGTAGAAGTTTGCCAAATGCGCATTGAACTAGATCGCGTCGGGAGAGATCTGTGTCCTGGAAGCACTGTGATTATTACGTTTAATAAAGTATTGCCTTTTTGCTAAAGATATAAAGCAGTTTCACCGGCAAGTGTACGACCTTTACGAGTGTTAGTACGGTATCTGGGGTATCTCCTATCCCACGTATTGTCCTAAAAAGCGCGACGAACGAAAGGATCTGCTCGCACCCTACATGAGATACGGTCCGGATTGCGCGAAAGTGCACACGGTTTTCTGGTGGTCAATATACAAGACGAGCTGTGGAATCGCTTCGCGGTCTGGTCCTTTCGCCCGTCGCGTTTATAACGGTCGTCGGACGTCAGCATGGGCGTGACGCGGTCGCGGTTGGCGGGCGCGCGCGCCGCGACTGGCGACGTGCTCGTGTTCCTCGACGCGCAGTGCGAGGTCGTCGTCGACTGGCTGCGGCCGCTGCTGCAGCGCATCAAGCACGCACCTCATGCGGTCCTCACGCCCCTTATTGACATGATCGAAGCGAAAGACCTCAAGTATGACGGCGGCAACATTGACTTCGAGGTCCGACTCATTGTAGTTGTCTGCCGTAGTTCGATGCTGCAAACGCACTCGCCGATACCACTCACCGACTCGAACAGTTTTAGCTTTTATCAATAGTACAAAAAACTCATAAAAATCCCAGTATTTCAGAGTCCTAAGCCTAATCATGAGCTCAGTGACAGAGTGACTCTGTCACAATACAGATACCGGACACGATAAATATATTTTAGCACAATGACGGCCTTGTACGAGTTACTTAATTTTTTTTCGTAAATGGGGTTAATACTGATGAAATACCCTATGTGACGGAAGCATCGCGTGGTCGTATTGTGTCGTTGTTAGTGAGTGGTGTCGGCTGTTTTGCTATGGTTACCGTTTGGATTTTTCGTAGGTTGTCTAATGGCAGCGGTAAGGTGTACTTCGGTAGTACTTCTATTTATTGTGTAGATGTTTGATCCTTCATGTATTAGTACGTATGTTTTGGATATACATACCGCGTTATCTATTTACTTACCCATTATGTTGTAAATGTTCACCTGTTTCTTTTTCGAATCTTCGCGTTATATAGTTGGATTGTGTTGTTAGGAGTTAACCACGTCCTACCTTAGGCTGTGCGGCGCTTGGTGGTTTCAATCTTGGTTTCAATGATGGTCTTCTCGCTGTTCGTTGCAGTTGCGCTTCCGGCCGATACTAGGTTTATCAATATTGTGTCATACACGGTGTCCGATTGCTGGCGCACCGCATCTTCGAGACATATTTTTGGTAGAAGTTATTCTTATAAACGATACAAAGTTTGTGTTAAACATGACTACCAATGAGAAATATAAGCTATTAAACAAAGTTTCGTTGAAAATAAGTCTATTAAAAAAAAAGAACACTTGCGAACCTAACAACACAAAATCAACAGCGTAGGGTTAACGCGCGCACGACTATAGGGTGTGCGAAAGGCAACCGCCGACGTGCTGGTGTTCCTGAACGCGCACTGCGAAGGCGGTCAGGACTGCTGCAGCAAAAAAGTTTTGTGATCGGTGCTGATCCATACTACTTTCAGGTGATTCACTTAAGCTTTGGTGTAGTCTAATTGTGCCTGGTTGTTATGTAGTTGAATTATTCCTCGATACTGCTTCTCTAGGATCACGTATTTTGAACCGTTTCTTCTTTTCTTCTTCTTCTTCTTAAGTGAATATGACTTACCAATGGGTAGTCGAGTTTCATCAATATGTCCATTTCAAGCGAAATATGTTTATTAATGACCTAAAGTTATCTGCCGTTCTGGTAGGTGCATTTATTTCAAACTTTTGTTAGTCTACTTATCGTATCTTGTTTGCGAATTCTCAAATGTAAGTGCTTGTGGTTTTTCACCGTATTCCCAAATATCGTTATGATTTTGTTCCTTGATATGTTTTCCACTTCTACACTAAAAGCGCTAAAGTGTACGTGTAAATTTATCGTTCCTGTATTTATTCATAGCAATGGATTTTTTAACATAGGTCCTTAGATATGTTTCATGGTTCTTCGCTTAATATCAGGCTGACGAACGGATATTGAGATCATTAATAACCAGGATCGTGAACTATCGGAAAGATGCGCGAAGCTTTCCGGAGCAAGTGCGAAATACACCAGATTAGCTTTTTACTCTTCGTTTCCTTAGTAAATGAGGATTGTGACATTCGATGGTAATTTTTAGGTAATCTCTCGCTCTACACTGCGACATTGCGTATGGTCTTATGAGCCGTAGTATATTTCCTCCGTGGAAATAATCGTCGTCGACTAACAGAACGTAAACATAGCATAGGGCTGACACGAGCGAGACTGGAGGGCGCGCGAAATGCAACCGCGGACGTGCTGGTGTTCCTGGACGCGCACTGCGAGTGTGGCTGTGACTGGCTACGTCCGTTGCTGCAGCGGATCAAGCAAAAGCGCAGCGCGGTCCTTACACCGCTTATTGACGTCGTCGAATTCGCAAATTTTAAGATTTCTGGAAGTCCAGATTTTTTCCAGGTGATTTCTTTCACTGAGTTTTGGGTTAGTCTAGTTGTGCCTGATGATTGTTTACACAATTGGTTCCTTGAGAATGCATCTGCAGTAAAAACTATCTTCACCAATACAAAGTTGAAGGAACGTCGCTATATATTTGGTGCAAAGACTTAGAAAGGGTTTGTCCTTCTGGACACTACTACTAATGGCAAATTTTTAATCAAATTTGTTTACAATAAGCTGCTAAAAAACGGTTTGTATAGTAAAATAGAAAACCTGAAATAGAATCCATAAGTAGAACTGCGGAGTTGAGATTGCGCAAGTAGATTTTGACTTTTGATATGATACCTTAGTGCAATCGTAGTTGTTAGTCTGCTTTTTGTATTTTGTATGGGCATTCCTAAAGTGCTTCTATGTCTTCTTGTACTATTATCAGTTATTGTTGCGTTTTATAGTTTGAATTTATTCTTTTCTTTGTGGTGCAATAAAGCGTGATATTGGAGGTTAAGTAGGTTACATTAAATATATACTCGTATGTTGCAATGTTGACTGTCAGCAATTTGGTCTTTTAAAGTGTACACAGTATTTCGCTGAAAGCTCGTTAAGTTATGCTAAAGGTGAAAAACTACCTGACGTACTTCTTCTTTTAACAATAGCTTCCTAACGAACGCGACTCCGTTCTTTACAATACAATCTATTGCAACGTAATAAGTTCTTGCGCTTGTGTTATAGTATTGTGGAACCACATCTCCATTTTTGCAAGAATTAGGAACCCAACTAAACAGAACGTAACGTAACATAGCGTGGGCCTGACACGAGCGAGACTGGCAGGCGCGCGGTACGCGAATGGCGACGCGCTGGTGTTCCTGGACGCGCACTGCGAAGGCAACCGGGACTGGTTGCGGCCGCTGCTGCAGCGCATCAAGGATGCGCCGCATGCCGTCGTCAAGCCTATTATCGACGTCATCGAGGCCAACGATTTCTACTACAGCGTCAACAACCCTCGCGTTTTCCAGGTGCAGCGTCGTTTATGTTTCAGGCTCTTGATGGGCTGTAGCGACTATTAGCATAGCCAAGCTTGTTTATTAGCATTTTCGCTTATGATTAGCCTTATTTTGATTTTTTTAAATTTAATAAGAAAAACCTTAAAAACGCTGTTTTGAATATTCTTCAGTCATGTCGAACGGTTTGAAGAGAAACTGAATAACCAAAATACCACAAATGTTCTGGTCTATTAGTCGCTACAACCGTATTCATTGACACCATACAAGGATATTTGCTGGTTGCCAGAAGTCTTACTCACGCTAAACTATTGTCTTGATCAACCAAAATTTGACTAGCAGGACCTTCGTTCTTGATAATTGTAACTTTTAAAGTGTCTCTGTTTTGGTGAACGCCCTCGATGTCTTATGCTTTAAAAATACTAGGAGTTGCGTTTGATACAGAGCTTGGATATTTCTTTCGGAATGTCACAAATTAAGATCTCTTCGTCTGTGTCTTTATTTAACAAGAGCCATATTGGCGAAATCTGGGCAATGTCATTCAGATCGATCAATCCGTTGATTGACAAACCAGTTAAGCGATTAGGTTTTGTGTTTTCGCATTGTGTTTGATTTGGTGCACGTGTTCCGAGCACGCTTCACTTGTTTTATTTTTCTTCGCACAGCATCACGAGGCCTTTGTACCTCGTTTTTAACCAAACAGGTTTATACGATGCGAGTGTTTCAACACGACTTCTTGAAATGCTGCTTTGGGTTTTTTTAATTCTCGCTATGTTTCTTTGCAAGTCTTGTTATATATATTGTACCGGTCAACGTCTCACCTTCTTGGTCGTTTTGATAATTTTACTTTGCCTTTTTCTTATTACGTGGCTCAATTAGTTCTGCATTAGGTTAACGTTCCCTTTCTTGCTTATTATAATCTACAGGACCTTCAACATTCTTTGTCTTTCAAACTGTCTCGCTTCTTGAAAGTAAACTTCTTCTTAATACATCTTCGTTGACATTATTCTGTTGCATTGAGCTTTGCTACTTCTACTTATTTGATGATGGGTTTTTTCGTGTGCTGTTTTCGATATAATGTCTTTTTCTGACTCGCTTATTCTTTGTTGCCACTTTTTGAATTCCTTATTGTTGTGGTTCAATAAAATTTACTTTATTCGCCTATCAACAAAGTGAATTATTTAGATCCGTGACTTTTTAGTGGCTGCTTCTTTTAAATTTTCTGTTTTTCTTTACACTGTTCCGATTCACGGTTTTTGTTTTAGCTAATTTATTTCTTCTTTATTTCTACGCCTTTTGTTGTGCTTGTATATAGAATCAAAGGCATCCTTTCGTATATATCTTACATCTATGCTAGCACAAAATTTTTCTTTGGTTATACAATATTTTGACGGACGGTATGATTTACTTTCTTAGTTATTTCCGAGAGTTTTGATATCTCCTGTGATACTTATTTGGCCCCTTATCTTACAGTGTATGTATAGTAAGAGGCAAAATATCGAAATAAAAAATGTATGGTGATATTTTGAGTTTACACAAATTTCATAAATTTAACAGAACCACGGCAGTAGGTACCTGTTTACGGTTACGGTTTAGTTTCTTAGATTTTAGTATAGTACCGCTGCGCTGTAATATAATAGATGGTATTTGATGGGACATAAATAGGATTACGTTTATATTGTTTGTTGATTCTCTTGACTTTTCCTACGGCTATGACATAATAAGGAACTTAGAATTGTCGGCCCCGTTTCATTGAAAAGTGACAAAAAATACTGACGAACGTTGTCTCTTTTATGCACTATGAAAAAGGACGAAAGAGAAAGAGAGACCGTTTGAGCGCAGCGACACCGACGCCGCGCCGTCGTTGTCGCGGTGCTCAATTGTCTCCCTTCGCTTCAATCGTCATGCAAAGCGGTGACGGGCCAGTGAAGCTAAAACGTCATAAATGGGGTAAACTGTACAATACTCCCCAATATTGTTACAGTTTTGTGATTTGTTTCTACGTATCTGTTTAGTCGTAGCTTGTAGTCAAATGGTGCCAGTAGATAGATATCGGTAATTTATGTATTCGATAATGGAGCGTAGTAATTTGCGTTTTTATTATAATTATTATATTATAACATTATTATGTTCACGTTATGGCGCGGCGTAAACGTTTAAAAACATTGTATTAGTCATTCAAATTACGGTATTGCGGGATCGGCCGTTCTTTACCAGTGAATACATTTGGATACGGGATAGTCGTGAAACCATGAGCGGGATTGGAAGGTAATCGCTAACTGCAACAGAGTAACGGAGGCGGCCCTTCCTGGCCTAGCCTCAGCTTGCCTGAGACGCAGCGGTGGTACTGTCCTTAGCCAAGGCCTGATGCTAGCGCGCATGCGCGGCGCGCGCGCCTCTCGCGGCTCCGCATTGGTGTTCCTCGACGCGCACTGCGAGGTCAACGCCGACTGGCTGCGGCCGCTGCTGCAGCGGCTGAAGGAGAAGCGCGACGCGGTGCTGACGCCCCTCATCGACGTCGTCGACCAGAGCTCGTTCCACCTCGACGCCGCGCAGAACTTCCAGGTCCCGAAACGAGTGACGATTGTCGCATAACTCAGCTTCTGGTTTTGGAAGGTTTGATAGAGAAGCATTATAAGCTAGCCATAACGACAATGCTAACTAACGGTTTAAAATACGAAGCGAGAGCTTCACGAGGGTAGCATGACAACGGTATGAAGAGCTGATCCCCTCGTGCCCTCACTGTCCGGCGCTAAACGAGAGATAGTACCCCGACTAACTCGCATGGAACAATACGCCGTACTGGGTGTGCACTTCTCTAACACATGTTACTCCGAGGCCTACTAATATTCATAACGACTATCGATGCAGCAAGAAACATCACTAGCCAGTCGAGATTGTAGACAAACGCGATCTATTTTTAATATAAAAAAAAATCATGCATGCGTAACATCAGCATCGTGCATCGTACCTCGTGCCACTACACAATGGATTCGAGAACAAAGCTGCATGTACACTCTCAGCATGACATCGCTTTTTAAGTATAGTAATGAAAATACTGAACAACAAAATATCGAATTAAACGGACTGGTATTCTCGAATTGAATGTACGCAAACAATAATGTCGTGAATTTTAGAGGGTGCGATATTTTATGAATGAATGCTAGTCCCAAGTTGATTTTAAATCTGTTTAACTGATAAAATGAGGCGTCGCGGTCGCCTCAAGTTATTGTCTGGTGTGGAATGGCAGTGCCAACGCGCACATTGGCTTTTGAGGTGAACGCCCGTAACATCGGTACAGAAGAAATGCGATCCTTGTAATTTAGCAACTCGGCGTTAAAACAAGTCGATACAATCTTTCTATTCCATCGCATGTCGTGTGTCATGTCTGTCAAGTCGTCTTTCGAACCGTTAACAAAGCTATTTTTTTCCAAAGTCGCGCGACGCCGTCACTCGCTTGTAAGAGGTACATTGAACACGCACAATTGCATTCATCCAACTTTGCGGAAGCTTTCATACGAATTTGTTCCAATGTCAAGAGATGAATATTACGTTGTACTGCACGAGTAGTCTGCGCACGCGCGTGAAACTGTATTTACCATGTAATTGCAGACTATTTTAAAGTGATTACGTCTCGTGATACATACCTACTTATATACAATCCGCATATCTGTATTAGTCAATGACAGAAACCGCTGATCGTCGAGGGATTTTCATAATAACTTTACCTCTACAATAGTATTTCAAATGTAGCCTTGAACGAATAACAATTTTAGTACATTTATACCAATTTTTTTTTCACATTTGATCGGTACGACTCCCAGACTTGAAGCAAGCAAGTCTTCGAATGCAGTATTACTTACTTTTAAAAATCAAAAATGTCCTATCTACAATATTTAAAGTACTTTCCTTCCGCGTCGCGTAGCCGTGTGACGACTGTACACTCGGACATTCATTAGATCTCGTTTCCAGATACTACTAACGCCATCTAGTGGGGAAATAATTACTATTTATCACAGTAGTACTACGAGCGGTATCTAAAAGTACCTGTATTATGTGTCAACATTCTTAGTTGGGAATGGTACAGGATTCACACAGCATTCGAATTAACAATTTAAAAGAAAAGTGTTTCAATTTCTGTAACTTAACCTGCGACCGAGTTTGCGTCGAGGCTAACAATTTATATTTTGCGTCCTGTCGTGTTGCGGAATTTTAAAGAATTTACTTCTTTCGAATGACGTGACGAATATCGACATCCAAAGTCCACAAGAGCGCCGCCATTTCACATTAATTTACCAAAACAGCGTCGTCTTAGCTTTTACGACACCAGTAGTAAGTAACTTTCTTAACGCTTGGTGGCTTTGCTTAATATTTAAACGAACAATGCCAAATCTGCCGCATATGGAGTTTCACCATTACCTGTCTCTTTCCACCTTCATGGACAACAGCAATTATACGTACCTACTTGGCAAAATTCCCCGTTGAGATTTGAACCTTACGAACGTTTGATTCAAGGTTTTTAATTTGCACTACAGGAAAATAACAATTTGTATACGTTAGTGTGTAGAGTGTGTTCTGTAACCTATCTCTCTCTCTCTCTTTGCGAGTGTTCAATTGCGAAAGGGATAGATGTATAATACGTATGTGCGTGCGCAGGTGGGTGGGTTTACGTTCAGCGGCAACTTTATCTGGATCGACGTGCCTGAACGGGAGAAGAAGCGAAGAGGATCCGACATCGCACCGACATGGTACGTCAGCCGTTGACATTATCGTTTACTAATCATTTGATAATGGCGAAGAAATAATACCCCAACCCGCAGCGGTGTACGCGTGGGCCTTGCCTTGTATAGTCTTACACTTGATGTGGCAGGTCGCCGACGATGGCGGGAGGACTGTTCGCCATTAGCCGCACCTACTACTGGGAGCTGGGAGCGTACGACGAACAGATGGCCGGCTGGGGAGGAGAGAACCTCGAGATCTCCTTCCGCATCTGGCAGTGTAAGTATTGCATTACGCTATTCTTTCTTCACTTCGCTATAGACTCGGAATGTTTTCTTTGTGTCCCGTTTGCCGAACGACGTTTTTAACGGTGCCGAGTCTCACATTTATTGTCTCACACGTTAAGTTCGTTTCTTTGATGATTCTCTCCTCGACTTCCAGGCGGCGGCACTCTCGAGACGATCCCGTGCTCGCGAGTGGGCCACGTGTTCCGCTCCTTCCACCCGTACGGGCTGCCCGCGCACACGGACACGCACGGTACGGGTCACGGAAACGCATGACATTTGGGCATACGGTATTGGTAGCCGACGAGACCGAGATTTGGGGAGAAAGAACTGCCGCCAGAATTATTCATAAACACTTGTGCCTGTATCTTTAGGCGATCGGTTCTTCCGAGAATTCTTCTATTGGTTTTTGAAAAGGCAAATTTGGTGTTTAAGAATGATAATAACAATAAAATTCAGGCATCAACACGGCGCGCATGGCCGAAGTTTGGATGGACGACTACAAGGAGCTGTTCTACCTGCACCGGCCAGACCTGAGGGTGAGACCCGACACTGCCGTTGTTTATTTGTGTACACACTTAACTCAATATAGTGATTTCTGTTAATCTGACCTTCTGCCAGTTTGGCATTTTGCGGTTCTGGCATAAAGCGTCAAAACGGTGTATTCAGCACCAACACAAACAAGTGCAATGTTCCATTTTGGCATTCGTCACATTCCGTTAGAAGTTCTTGCGATTTCATAGCAATGTTTATAATTTATTTACTTTAACTTTGTCTCGTCTCTACGTCTAACCAAATAACATT